ACTACACACTACACACTAAACCACACAGTACACTACACTACACACTACACTACACACTACACACTACACTACACCACACACTACACTACACACTACACTACACTACACACTACACTACACACTAAACCACACAGTACACTACACCATACACTACACTACACCACACACTACAACACACACTACACTACACCATACACTACACCATACACTACACCACACACTACACTACACACTACACTACACTACACACTACACTACACACTACACCACACACAACACTACACTACACACTACACTACACACTACACTACACTACACACTACACCACACACTACACTACACACTACACTACACATTACAGTACACCACACACTACACTACACACTACACTACACTACACACTACACACTACACCACACACTACACTACACACTACACTACACACTACACTACACTACACACTACACCACACACTACACTACACACTACACACTACACCACACACTACACTACACACTACACTGCACACTACACACTACAGCACACACTACACCACACACTACACTACACACTACACTACACACTACACTACTCTACACACTACGCCACACACTACACTACACAATACATTACACACTACACTACACACTACACTACACACTACGCACTACACTGCACTACACACAACACCACACACTACACTACACACTACACCGCACACTACACTACATTACACACTACACTACACACTACACTACACACTACACCACACACTACACCACACACTACACTACACACTACACTACACACTACACACTACACCACACACTACACCACACCCTACACTACACTACACCACACACTACACCATACACTACACCACACACTACACTACACACTACACTACACACTACACTACACTACACACTACACCACACACTACACTACACTACACACTACACTACACATTACAGTACACCACACACTACACTACACACTACACTACACACTACACCACACACTACACTACACACTACACTACACACTACACTACACACTACACACTACACCACACACTACACTACACACTACACTACACACTACACCACACACTACACTACACACTACACTGCACACTACACCACACACTACATTACACTACACACTACACTACACACTACACTACACTACACCGCACACTACACTACACACTACACTACACACTACACCACACACTACACTACACACTACACTACACACTACACCACACACTACACCACACACTACACTACACACTACGCACTACACTGCACTACACACAACACCACACACTACACTACACACTACACCGCACACTACACTACACACTACACACTACACCATACACTACACACTACACCACACACTACACCACACCCTACACTACACTACACCACACATTACACCATACACTACACCACACACTACACTACACACTACACTACACACTAAACCACACACAACACTCCACTACACACTACACTACACACTACACTACACACTACACTACACACTACACCACACACTACACTACACACTACACTACACATTACAGTACACCACACACTACACTACACACTACACCACACACTACACTACACACTACACTACACACTACACTACACACTACACTACACACTACATTACATACTACACTACACACTACACCACACATTACACTACACACTACACTACACACTACACTACACACTACACTACACACTAAACCACACAGTACACTACACTACACACTACACTACACACTACACTACACACTACACCACACACTACACTACACACTACACTGCACACTACACCACACACTACACCACACACTACACTACACTCTACACACTACACTACACTACACACTACACTACACACTACACTACTCTACACACTACACCACACACTACACTACACAATACACTACACACTACACTACACACTATGCACTACACTGCACTACACACAACACCACACACTACACTACACACTACACCGCACACTACACTACATTACACACTACACTACACACTACACTACACTACACACTACACCACACACTACACCACTACACTACACACTACACTACACACTACACTACACACTACACCACACACTACACCACACCCTACACTACACTACACCACACACTACACCATACACTACACCACACACTACACTACACACTACACTGCACACTACACTACACTACACACTACACCACACACTACACTACACTACACACTACACTACACATTACAGTACACCACACACTACACTACACACTACACTACACACTACACCACACACTACACTACACACTACACTACACACTACACTACACACTACACACTACACCACACACTACACTACACACTACCCTACACACTACACCACACACTACACTACACACTACACTGCACACTACACCACACACTACATTACACTACACACTACACTACACACTACACTACACTACACCGCACACTACACTACACACTACACTACACACTACACCACACACTACACTACACACTACACTACACACTACACCACACACTACACCACACACTACACTACACACTACGCACTACACTGCACTACACACAACACCGCACACTACACTACACACTACACCGCACACTACACTACGCTACACACTACACTGCACACTACACTACACACTACACCACACACTACACCACACACTACACTACACACTACACTACACACTACACCACACACTACACTACACACTACACTACACACTACACCACACACTACACCACACACTACACTACACACTACGCACTACACTGCACTACACACAACACCGCACACTACACTACACACTACACCGCACACTACACTACGCTACACACTACACTGCACACTACACTACACACTACACCACACACTACACCACACACTACACTACACACTACACTACACACTACACCATACACTACACACTATACCACACACTACACCACACCCTACACTACACTACACCACACACTACACCATACACTACACCACACACTACACTACACACTACACTACACACTACACCACACACAACACTACACTACACACTACACTACACACTACACTACACACTACACTACACTACACCACACACTACACTACACACTACACTACACATTACAGTACACCACACACTACACCACACTACACACTACACCACACACTACACTACACACTACATTACATACTACACTACACACTACACTACACACTACACCACACATTACACTACACACTACACTACACACTACACTACACTACACACTACACTACACACTAAACCACACAGTACACTACACTACACACTACACTACACACTACACTACACTACATACTACACTACACACTACACTACACACTACACTACACACTACACTACACACTAAACCACACAGTACACTACACTACACACTACACTACCCACTACACTACACACTACACTACACACTACACTACACACTACACTACACAGTACACTACACTACACACTACACTACACCACACACTACACTACACACTACACAGTACACTACACTACACACTACACTACACAGTACACTACACTACACACTACACTACACACTACACTACACAGTACACTACACACTACACTACCCACTACACTACACACTACATACTACACTACACACTACACTACACACTACACTACACACTACACTACACCCTAAACCACACAGTACACTACACTACACACTACACTACACACTACACTACACACTACACTACACACTACACTACACACTAAACCACACAGTACACTACACACTACACTACACACTACACTACACACTAAACCACACAGTACACTACACTACACACTACACTACACACTACACTACACACTACACTACACACTACACCACACACTACACTACACACTACACTACACACTACACTACACACTAAACCACACAGTACACTACACTACACACTACACTACACACTACACTACACTACACACTACACTACACACTACACTACACTATACACTACACTACACACTACACCACACACTACACTACACACTACACTACACCACACACTACACTACACACTACACTACACACTACACTACACTACACACTACACTACACACTACACTACACTACACACTACACTACACCACCCACTACACTACACACTACACTACACACTACACTACACTATACACTACACTACACACTACAGCACACACTACACACTACACTACACACTACACTACACTACACACTACACTACACACTACACTACACACTACACTCCGCACGAGCGCCGCGTGTCCCGCTCGAGAGAGGCGCGCGAGGAGTCACAGACCGCGCATCGCTCGCGCGCGGTGTTCAGTGTCAAGAGGCGGCAAGTTGAGAGGGAGGGAGAGAGGGGAGGGAGGCAAGTTGAGAGGGAGGGAGAGAGGGGAGGGAGGCAAGTTGAGAGGGAGGGAGAGAGGGGAGGGAGGGAGAGAGGGGAGGGAGAGCGGGGGGGTTGGAGCAGCCCCGAAAGCGATCTGCTGCTGTTTGTAGAGGCGAGGTGGTGGTGGTGGGGGGGGGGGGGGGTTGGTGGTGGTGGGGGGGATGGGCGGGTGGGGTGAGGGGGTGGGGACTGGTGACAGGGAGTGAGGTGGGGGTCCGCGTGGCTGTCGATGGTGGTGATGGTAGCAGCAACGGCGACAGGGGTTGGGTAAGGGGGGGGGTGTAGTGATGGTGCAGGGTGGGGTGTGTGTCGGGGGGGGGGTGGTGGAGGATGGAGGGGGTGGGTGGGTTGCGGGGGGAGGCAATCGGACATAGAGGGGAACGTGATGTCCAGGGTAGAAAGAAGCGTGGATGGAGACAAATAAAGCTCCACCCACAACAATCGCTCCCTCCCCTCCGCTCTGTCGCCTCCACCACCACCACTACCAGCAGCAGCGCCGCCACCTCCAACCCACCAACACCATTTGTCGCGCGTTGCACGCACGGCACTTGCGTTGCGTTCTAACGCCGCTGACCTCCCCCCCCCCACCACCTACCCAACCACCCACCCCACCCAGACCGTCATTACGGCGCTCGCTCCATCGCGGACAGATTGCGTCACCAAAACACGGACGGAGCAGGGTTAGACAGGGAGGAAGGGAGAGGGAGAGAGGGAGGGAGAGAGGGAGGGAGGGGAGAGGAGACGGCACTGTTAGAGTCAAAGAAGAAGGTGGGAGGCGGTGTGTGTGGTGTGGTGTGTGTGTGGGGGGGGGGGGACTTCCTCGGAGTAATTGCGAAGAGGATCGAGCAGAAGCAGAGAGACGAGGAGGAGAAAGAGGCCGTCTCTCTGTCTCTCTCTCTCTGTCTCTCGCTCTCTCGCTCTCTCTGTCTCTTTCTAAAATCTCGCGCGCACGCCGAGAAGCGTCGCGCAATCCAAGTTTTTTTGCGCGCGCGATTCATTTCGAGACTACATCGCTCCCCTCCTCCTCCACCTCCTCCTCCACCTCCTCCTTCCTTCCTTCCCTCCCTGCCTCCCTCCCCCTACGCTCCCATGGCTGTCCCCGCTCCCCTCGTGCCTCCCTCGTCCGTCATGCACTCTGCGAGCGCTCCCGTGCCCGGGGTCATGTATCGTCAGGAGGGCAAGAGCGACCAGCCTTTCGGACCCCCATCCCCGGGAGAGCCGCCGGCCAGCGGCGGCGGTGGCGGCGGCGGCGGCGGCGGAGGTCTCGGCTCTCAGCGCAGGCCCGAACACAACAAGGGCTACCCGGTCTCTCCTCCCGTCGAGAACTTGGCCCTCAGAGATCTCTACTGGTCCGAGTCGAAGACCCCGTCCTCGACGCCGTCCCCCTCGGAGTCCGCGTCACCCGGAGGAGTCGCGTTTCTGCCCGACACCAAACCGCCCGTCTTCTCCGGCTCACCCAACGCGGAGTGTCCGTCTCAAGGTGGTGGTGGTGGCGGCGGAGTCGGTGGTGGCGTTTACATGCCCGACAGCAAACCCGTCTACCTGATGACCGAAGGCGCATCCATGAGTGTCGGCACCGCGGGGGGCGCGCCGCTCTTCCGCTCCGCGGGGGTTCCCGGCGGCTCGGAGCACAAATCGCCCTTCTCGTCGCACGGCTCCGGCTCCTCGGACGGCTCCCCCGCATCGCTGCTCAGCGGCCTTTATCTGGCACAAGAGCAGCACAAGTCCGCCTACGCGCCCAGCAGCCCGCCCGCGTCTCTACCGCAACAACAGAGCCTCCAGCAGCAGCAGCAACCGCAGTCTCAACCGCAGCAGCAACCACCGCAACCGCAATCAGCGCCTCCTCCTCCTCCTCCACCTCCCGATGGCTCAGCGCCAATGCCGCCACACCACCACCACCACCACGGCGGCAGCGGCGGCGGCGGCGGCGGCGTTGGCATCGGGAGCGGTCCCTCGCCACTCTCGTCCCGGGGCGTGTACCGGGTCGAGCCGGGGACTAAATCCATGTTCCCCGCGTCACCCGCGGGCGACATCAAGCAGTGTTCGCTCGAAGCTCAGTTCGCCGCAGCAGCAGCAGCAGCCGCAGCCGCTGCCGCAGCTGCCGGCGGTGGTGGTGGTGGAGTCGCTTGCGTGAGCGGCGCGGGTGGCGACAAGAAGGTTGTGTACTGCACTCCGCCGCCGGTGGAGAACACGCCGGCTCACAACGAGTGTCGGCTCGTCGAACTCCACGGCGCCAAGGTGGCGTCGTTCACCGTGCACGGCCAAGAGCTCATCTGCCTGCCGCAGGCGTTCGACCTCTTCCTCAAGCCCCTCGTCGGCGGCCTCCACACGGTCTACACGAAGCTCAAGCGCCTGCACATTGTGCCCGTGGTGTGCAACGTAGAGCAGGTGCGCGTGCTGCGTGGCATGGGAGCCATCCAGCCCGGCGTGAACCGCTGCAAGCTCATCTCGCGCCACGACTTCGAGACGCTCTACACGGACTGCACGAACACGAGGTGAGGGTAGGGGAGGGGGGGACGAGGGCGCGCGCTCCCTTCCCTCCATCTCCTCCAGAGATGCACCACCTCTTCGTTTTTCCTCCTCTCCACCTCCTCTTCCCTCTCCTCCTCTTCCCTCTCCTACTCCTCCTCGTCTTCTCATCTCCTCCGCCGCTCCTATACCTCGTTATCCATCGCCTCGTCCACAACTTTCTTCCCACACACACACAAAGACAAAGAGCTCTCGTATGGCATTAACAGACTGTTGGGGCAAGTGCTGTTAGCGAGCACCTATGAAGGCCGGAACGGTACACGAGGGGGTGGGTGGCCAACACCACACCCGGCCGCCTTTGTCTCCCCAGTGGCGATGTGTACACACCGCACCAGGTACTCATTTGAGGCTGAGTCGACCTAGGGCAGGCCCAGGACCGGTTCGGATAATCGTTACTGGTGTTGGTCGTAAGCGGAAATCGAACTCGGTTCGCCAGGTTCGTAGCGCAGCGCGCTAACCGCTACACCACCGCTCCCCCCCCCCCCACGCATACATTCCTCATTATCCTCGTCCTATAACTCCTCATCCACCTCGTCTTTCACCTCGTGAATAGGATTTGTTTGTTTTGTAAGTCAGGGTTTACTGAAAACACAGCCCCAGTGTCCCCAAAACGCCAATCTGCAAGTAACAAACAGGGCTACCGAAGTAGTACTTATGGGGGGGGGGGGGGGGGGGGTGGTGAGAGAACTTATGAAGAACTTATAATGTTCCGGCAAGACTTCACAGATTTCATATGAGAAACTACAAAGGACGGGGCAACCGGGACGGGTGGCAACTCGCTGCACCTCCACTAACGCACCACCCCCACCCCCCCTGCTCGTCTTACACCTCCTGCGCCTCTTCACAACACCTCTTCCTGCACCTACTCACACTTTGTTCCGACACGCCGGTGGTGCGGGAGCGGGGTGGGGGCTCGAGGGGGATGTGGATGATGATGCCACGACGGATGGGATCACAAAGTGTTTTGTGTCCGTCAGAGTAATCCTTTACATTCGCAGCATTAATGATGTCAATCACTCCCGCGTCTCGCGGTTGAGCTGCTGCTGATGCTGATGCTGTCTGTGCACGGCTCTCCGACACTCGCGGTTGTACCGCGTGCTCTTCGGCGAGCTGGTCCGACGTTTCGCATCCTCCTCCTCCCTCCCTCCTACCTCTCTCCTACCTCCCTCCTACCTCCTTCAGTTGCCGCAAAGGACTCTTCTTTGTTGCCGAAATGTCTCAGTGTCTTTCCCGAAGAAGCTACCCACCCACCCAGCGCGTGCGTGCGTGTGTGCGCGCGCGAAACGTCGGACCATCTTGCCGAACAAAACGTGTCGGATGGAGAGCGTAGCAAGGGTTGTCGTGTTTGGTTTATCGCAAGGGCGCAGCGTGGCTTCTTGCCGTCACTTCTATCAAGATTTGCCCCCCTTGTTCAACCGAATTCTATTTTCTGATAACGATGATGGAGAGATGATGGAGGATGGAGTATGGGAGTTTCACCAATCTTTGCGTGATCCACCAACCCTTTCATTCCAATCGCCGCATCGCAGACGTGCGCCACGGCGTAGACGAAGATGATGGTGATGATGGGAAGATGGAACTGGATTAAGATGTTGTGGGATAGTAACGGAGGTGAAAGACAGATGGAGGAAACGGGGAGAGTGGAAGACGAGGTCGGCGGGGTGGGTGGGGGGGATTTGGTTGGGAGGCTAGGTTGAGGGAGGATATGTGTCATCACAACTATATATTAGTTCCACACACACAGCTCTCTACGTGATCCACTATCCCTCATCTCCAGCGATCGCTGAATCACGCGGACGCGTGCGGGCGCGCACGTAGTCGCCACGGCCGCCGCTGCGCTCGCTCGGATGAGAGATCGCGAATTTTGAGAGTGGAGCGATCATCGGTGTCTCGAGATGAGATGATGAGTTGAAGAGGATTTAAGGTGGTCGATGATAAACGAGGAGGTGAAGGAGGTGGAGGAGGAGATTGAAGAGTGATGGAAGATAACAGCATAATTTAGCCGCGTGATGTTGTACTCATTTCTCCCACGAATAAATGATAACACTAGGATAATAATAATAATGATGACAATTATAATCTAGTCACGGTGGGAATGGGAGATGTGGGGTGGATTCGCGACGCGGCGATTCCACCCCAAGTGGTTTCTCACTGCACGCCGTGAAAGTTCACAGTTTTCACGACAACCCTAGGAGCTCTGTCTCTCTCTCTCTCACGCGTTCTCTGGGAGAGTTGTACCGCGTGTCGCTCAGCATGGGGTCCGACGTTTCGCTGCCTCCGCGCGGCCGGCACCTACGGTACGGGAAACGAACGAAACGAAATATATTACGTTTTCACTTGGCCAAGTATCCTAAATTGGGTTCCTGAAAGAAACTTGAGTTCCTGCCGTAGTAAATTCGCACGCGCGCGCTTTCGAAACGTCGGACAACCGCGTCGAACAACACGGGAAATCAATTGAAGCCCGCGGGCGGAAGCTCGCCAGCGCGTGCTGCTGCGAAACGTCGGACGATCGTGCTGGAGAGTTAGTTCCAGGCACACAACCCGCGGTGGGGGGGGGGGGGGGGGGAAACTCCAACTCCAAAACCGCGGTTGCTTCCCCGTGGCCTGCAATGTTTCGGAGCTCGCTCTCTCTCTCGAGTCTCTCGGCCACACTCGGGCGGAAACGCGCGGCTTCCACGCCTTATTTGAGCGTGGAAGAAAGGCCGCACGCGTTCTGGGCGTTCGCGCGTGTCCCCGTCGGATGTTGCTCCACGTCCACCGCCAAAATCCGCAAGACGCAGGACTTCGTGTCGCCTCGTGCTTCCACCGCTCCTCCATTTGTCGAAGACGACACCTCGAAGACTCCCCCCTCCCACCTCCCCCCCGCCATCTCTATCTGTCCATCTGTCGACTTTAAACGATTAAGCGCGGTTGGCTACGTACGGCGCAAAGGAAGTTCAGCGTGTATAACAATAGTGTGTTTACCCTTTCTGGCAATAAAGCAGGTTAAAATTTGATTTAAAGTTTTCGTGACTGCAGGGATTCATATTTTTGGTTCTTTCGGCAAAGTCACCACGTAGAAGGGAAACAATAAAATAAAAAATAATAATAAAGCAGGTGTTAAGATTTACAAACACCAAACAGAATCCTGGTTTTTGTCTCTCAAGGAATTCCGTCTGCATTAACCACATACGGCACGTGTGGTGAACAGCCAAATGAACAAATAACAAGCTCTGATAAATATTCTTTGGGTCTTTCGATAAAGCCACGTAGATAGAAAAAATAATACAAGTAATAATTTGTATTTATTATTTATTCTCACCACGTGGCTTTACCGAAAGACCCAACGAATATGAATTCCTGCAGTCACGAAAGCTTTAAGTCATGCTTTGATGAATTTATGGCGTTGTCTTCGAAACTGATTGGTCCACACCGAAGACAGCTTTCTCTTGAGCTTCGTCTCAAAGTGTTCGACCAAAGAACGCCAAAAGGCGAGCGGCGTGCAAACAAAGTTCGACAGGCACCGCGCGCACACGCGGAGATGTAAACCTACCGTAAGCCCCCCGGTGTCTGCCCCATAATTATCTGCACCCACTGGAGACCCCCCGTCCCGTCGAATAACCGCGCGCACGCGCGTGGCACGCCGAGGTGACGGGCGCGTTTCGTTGCGCGGCGCTTGAACGGCGCCTTGAGTCACGCGCGCACGCACGCACGCGTGAGTAACAGATACGGAAGATACACGTAAGATTTATATATATGTGTGTGTGTGTGATATATACATACAACGTCATCATCGGCCGTGATCAATCCGCTGCTGGATGAAGGCCTCCCCAAGCCGTCGTCGTCTCAGAGTGACGAATCCGCGACCGAACAATCCATCCAGCACTTGCCCTTTGAGCGAGCTGATTGTATCGCTCCATCTCCCAGGTGAACGTCCTTCCTCGGACGCGTTCAATAGCAAATTGGATAATCAACAAGACAAAATATCCTCCGTATAGCCTTTATGTACTTTTAAGGCAGGTGCTGTTCGCGAGCACCGATGAATGCCGGCACGATACACGAGGGGGGTTGGTGGCCAGCACCACGCCCGGCCGCCTTTGTCTCCCCAGTGGCCATGTTTACACACCGCACCAGGTACTCATCTGCGGCCGAGTCGACCTTGGGGAGACCCGGGACCGGTTCAGATAATCGTCACTGGTGTTGGCCGTGAGCGGGAATTAAACTCGGGTCGTCCGGGTTCGTAGCGCGCACGCACGGCACTCGCACGCACTCACGCGCATGTATCGACAACATCGACAATCAATGAAACCGGAACTTCTTCGACCCTTGGAAGTGTTCAAGCCCCGGTTCAAATGCTGCCCCTGTTCTCTCTGCTCGTGACTCCCTCCGTGTCTGTGAAGTGTCGTGGACCAGACCTTCACCCTGCGCTGGAAACTACTAGTTCTCGACCTGTGTTTAAATAAAACAATCGGGAAAGAGATTTTAAAATGTTATTTTTCCGAGACCCCCCCCCCCCACGATGTGAAGTGCACTCTTAAAAACAACCCACTCCATATCTCTCTGGCCTCTCTAATGTACGTGATACGAAGAAAGGCCATTGCCCGAAACGTCGCCTGTTTTGCGTTGACGAACGCGCTTGCGTTTGCTTGTCTCGCAAATCGAGTCGTTTCCCACTCTCCTCTCGAGTTGCCTGCCACTTCCAACGACGCCGCTAGCAAATTGCTTCCTCTTGTCGGAGTCTCGACACGAGTGAAGTAATCAACCGCAATCATCGTCGGCATCACTCACTGTGCTTCATGAGTCCACACGCCACGTCACGTCAGTCTGTTTGGTGAATTGTTTCGCCATACTTCGCCACTCTGGTCATTGCGAGTTGGTGACAGGGCGATGTTTCGTTTGTCTGAGTGGCGAAACCCTGGGGGTGGCGGGGATTAGAGGGCGGGGTTGCGGTTTGAGCCGGGGGAGGAAGGGTTACCGGTTCAGATCT